CATGATCGTTTAGGAAGCTCTTTTACATTATTTTATCTTTATAACAATCCTCAGAGTAGATCGAGTATTTTTATCCCTCCTTATCAATATGTGAAAACAGTTTTTTCCTGCATATCTGCTGCCTTAGCTAAAGATGCAAATCATTAAAGTTAAAATTATAATTTCTGTAGCTAAAAGTAATCTGTTAGAGCCAGTGTATACAATATGTTTAATATGCTTTCTATAACTTTCTCAAAGGGCCCATGGTGAGTTTATTGTCCTCTCATTTAGCTGGGAGTTCAGAACAGAATTATTTTCTAGAATGTATTATGATATAAATAGTGTATCATGAAATATTTTGTAGGTTTGTATATTTTTATTGCAGCAGACAGCATTGAGATTAAACCTAAAAATACCTGATTGACAAAGTAATTTTTCAGACAAAAGTATATTGAGGGAAATTGGAGAATCTTCAGAGGCTTTAAAAGTCCAGGAAAATCTTAGACTACTCCAGTGATTTAGAACTGTGTAAAGGTAGCCTAAGTCGTTTTTCTAAGTTATCAGCCGAGGGGAGGAAATAATGAAAGAGAAATACATACTAGTGGGATTAAGGACAGGTGGTGGCTCCTCTTACCTATTAAAGCATTCTTACACCATACCATGAACTGTGTAAAAGGAAGGATCATTGGACATAATAGATCACCTGACAAGGTGCCCCAGAATGGTGGAAGTAAATCGACAAGTGAGGAGACTGAATTAGCATTCAGACAGTGGGGACCTCACACCTTGCATTCCCTTTTTGGTAAGATTTTTATTACCTCCTTAGTTGGAAAGAGGTAAATTCATCTATTTTGAGCCCAAATTTTTCTGACTAGAAGATTGGTAGTCTTATTTTTACTAAAGTGCAAGATTAGTAAAATATAGCATTCTCTGACTTTTTTTTTTTTTTTTTAATGTTTCAGATCTGTCACACTAAAAAGGGCTTTAGGCCGGGTGTTGTGGCTCACCCCTGTAATCCCAGCACTTTGAGAGGTCAAGGTGGGAGGATTGCTTGAGGCCAGCAGTTTGAGACCAGCCTGAGCAACATAGTGAGATCTCAGTCTCTACTAAAAATAAAAAAAATTAGCCAGGCCTGGTGGCATGTGCCTGTAGTCCCAGCTACTTAGGAGGCTGAGGTGGGAGGATTGCCTGAGCCCAGAAGATAGAGACTGCAGTGAGCCATGATCATGCCACTGTACTCTAGCTTGGGTGACAGAGTGAACCTTGTCTCAAAAAATAAAGGGTGGGGAAGCTTTAGCCTAGACTTTTAATTCTCAATTACCATTATAAATTTATTTTAATTATTAACTAATTATTTTAATTCTCAATTAGTGGTTTTCCATGATAAGGCTTGATGTTCTAAACAATATCATACCACCAAGTTACCTCTGCTGGAAAACCCAGATTTCAAGGAAAAAAATGTATTTTGAAAACAATTATGTCTTAAATATTTAAAATTCTTTTTGACTGGTTTTCACCATATTTAAATGTTTTTGGTAAGTAATTTTCATTAGATTATTTAAATGTATAGTGGCACGGTAGGGTTGTATCTCAGATATGAAGCGATTTTTCATAAAAATAAAGTGTTAACCTTAGGTCAGTATGTTTAGATCAATACTGAATTTAAATAGATTGATAATTTTTTAAATATACTTTATGAATTTGTAATTTTTCCTGAGATTTCAAGAGGGAAAAATGAGTAGGAGATGACTGAGAGCTGTAAAGTTTGGGAGTGTCAATTAACTCAGCATTCTTTTAAAAAATATATGTCATATATTACAGCATTTTCTTTTATTTGAAGTGAGTAAATGTTATCTTTTAAGTTCCTTAGTAATTTTTGAGCACTCCATATATACAAAGCATGTGAATATTTGGTAGCGTTTTACAAATGTCCAGAGATTTGTGAGAGTTCCTGAGATCCTTATAGGGGGCCTACAAAGTTTAGTGTTACTTTTCATGGTAATACTAAAATATAGTTTGCCTTTTTTTACTTTTTCTCTTAATAGCGTACAGTGGCATCACTCTGAAGGCTAATAGTATGTATGTTTGTGTGCTTTAAAAAGTTAGTGGTTTTGTCCGGGCACATTCGCTCAGTTCTGTAATCCCAGTACTTTGGGAGGCTGAGGCGGGCAGATCACCTGAGGTCAGGAGTTCGAGACCAGCCTGGCCAAAATGGTGAAACCCCATCTCTTCTAAAAATACAAAAATTAGCCGGGCGTGGTGGCAGGTGCCTGTAGTCTCAGCTCCTCGAGAGGCTGAGGCAGGAGAATCGCTTGAAGCCAGAAGGTGGAGATTGCAGTGAGCCAAAATCTTGCCATTACACTCCAGCCTGGGGGACAAGAGCAAGACTTCGTCTCAAAAAAAAAAAAAAAAAAAAAAAAAAAGTTCTTGGTTTTAATTTCTGAAATGATAACCATTAATAGAACCCAAATTAACAAAAACTCCTTGTGATCCTCTATAGTTTTTAAGACTATAAAGGGGGCCTGAGACCAAAAATTTGAGAACGTTTTCACTTTGGGATACAAAGTTTAAGACAATTGTAGTTAAATAAGTAGGAGATACAGAGTATTTTAATAAATAGTAGATGGTTATAAAAGTCAAGAGATGTACAGAGAAAATGCTAGTGATGAGCAGATTTTTTTGGTAACTAATTTTAATTCCACAGTGAAGATTTTTTGGTTTAGTGGGCCCTTAGAATTGCTTCTTCCTGTTAGGATTAAAAGTGAAACCAGAAATTAAAATGATTTAATTTTTTTATTGTGGCAAAGATCTAGTCCAAATATCCTTGATGGACTTTTAAAAAAAGCAGGCTTTGTATTGTTAAAAAGGGAATTTGAGGCTTGGTACTGAACAACTTCTGCATGCCATATTGAAGTTGGTGGTTTTGTGTTTGTTTGCCATCGGTCGGATCTCATAAAGACTATGGAATTTAATAGAATTTTAAAGTTACCATTTTTCCTAAAAGGTAGCTAACTAAAGGCAGGAAAATAGGAGAATGATGCAACAATATAATGACTACATCTGGAGTTTCTGCTACTAATAAATAATTGTATTGTCAACTTTAGTCAAATATTCTGTGCATTCAGTCAGAGCTATCTGAAAATACTGATGAATAGTATTACAGTGTGGGGAGGTCACTTCTCAAGACTGCAAGAAAAAAAAAATTGTTGTGTGTAGGAATGCATGCCTGGGAATTAGGAATGTATGCTTGACAACAAATGAACATATCTGTTGAATGTTAAATGAGAACAACTTACGGGGTGGATAGTGAGAGGTATAGTATTTAACATGGAGAAGTTAGTAATATAGTAGAATATTTGATTGAAAAGATCCACATTGGTGTATTCAAAGACACACTGAAGACTATTATGCATTAGTAAGTATTAAACATGAGAATTTTTTATTTTAAAATTAGATTCTAATTTCTGAGATTTACTTTAAGAATAAAAGGGGATGAAACAAGATTGGCCATGAGTTGATCATTGTTAAAGCTGGGTGATGGCTACATAGAGGTGCATTATTATAGTCTCTTTACTTTTGTATATGTTGGAAATTCTTCCAAAACAAAATGTAAAGCCATAAAAAAGGTAGCAAAGTAAGAAAAAAGGAGAGCCAACAAAAAATGGTGTAGACAAAAAGCTGTGAAAAGAAACTCATCAAGAGCAAGAGTATTAAATGAGAAACATATGCCACTGACAGAGTTCTCAGAAGAGATAAAGGCTGAATTAAAAAGAGATGGAGGGGAAAGTTTCATAAATCAAAAATTTAGGTTAAGGATTGTGAATATTAAAGAGCACTTCAGACTGCCAATGAAAGGTCACAGTAGTGTCTATAAAGTAAAAAGATCAAAAACTTTACTTTTAAAAGAGTAAGATCTCTAAAACCAAAGGTAACAGCAGATTCTTATGAAATGCACCAGAAAGCTGGAAAGAAAGAAGAAATAAAATGTGAACTTATGGAACAAGAGTGGTAAAGGCCCGTTCTACCCAGGTATGTTATGAAATCAAATTCATTTAGTTTGGGTGTTTGTTCCTCTATGTTGGGAAGGTAAAAAAGAACATACAATTCGTTTGTTTAGTGAACCAATATTTATGAGAAATAAGCTAGTGTGTAAGAATTTAAGGGATGAACGTATTCCAAGCTGATTGGTAATTGAAAAGTAGATGAAGGGTGCTAACACAAAAGGGAATTCTGTCTAGAATAAATGACTGAAGAGATGGTGACTTAAAGGTAGTAGGACAGCAGTAAGACTGGAAACTAGAACAATAAAATAAGGAAATGATAACATAGATTGGGAAAGGATAGGAAAATACTGAAACCAAATCTGTGTTATAGTGATGGTTTCTTGTTCTTTGAACTGGAAGAGTGTTGTTTTGAAGAAACCTGTATTATAATTACTTGAGTGTATAATTAAGAAGGCAAGCACATTTTGCTAAGATTTTCTTTATTTGCATGAATTAAATAGTGATGTTCAGAGTGATTTGTCTCTAGGAGCTGAAAGACTACTATCTTTGTTTCTTAAGCTGTAATTATTTGTCTGATTTCAAGTGTGAGTTTATGAAGAAGATAGCACTTGCAGAAAATAGTGAATTACCATTATGTATGTCGAAAGTGATACTTTTTTACATTTGGCTTATTACTGTAAATCATGGAAGTGAATTTTCCAAGCCTGTGACTTGGAATTATATTCTTCATGCTTTGTTTGCTTTTCCAGAGGAAATAGAGTATTATATATTTGATATTTTAACATAATACAGGTATGTACTTTAGTTCAATTAATGGTTTTGTTGAAATCGATTATTTTTCTCTACTACACATCAGCAAACAATTTTTCTAAACACTATAAAAATTAACTTTCAGGAACCATTTGGAATGGTCAGCCGTAAGCCATGCAGCCATCGTGCTTAAATTGGTTTTTGTAAACGACTTGTGTGTGTTTCGTAAAATATGCTTTATTTTAAAATTAGGGCTTCCTGTTGCAGCTGTTCCAGGAGCTCTGAGTCCTTTGGCTATTCCAAATGCTGCTGCAGCAGCTGCTGCAGCTGCTGCTGGCCGAGTGGGTATGCCTGGAGTCTCAGCTGGTGGCAATACAGTCCTGTTGGTTAGCAATTTAAATGAAGAGGTTAGTAAAATAATCTCTAATGTTTATTCTTTAACTCCATTTCATTCGTGAAAGTTTTTCATGTTTATTTCATTTTGCACTTGCCTTTCTTTTTATGTACATTCATTAGTCAAAGTATTTTCTGTATGTTTCTACTTCTGAATAAAATCTATGTATTGTTTAGGTAATACTTTATTTCCTTAAACAGTCATGTCTCTTTATATCTATATTTGTATATTTTTTAACCTAACCTATTTTTCCTAAGAAAAATATGGTGAAGTACTGTAGTTTGGCTTATCATTTTGTTGTTCTCAAAGGCAAATGTGATCTAATTTGCAAATTTAACTGTAAAACAATTTTGCTCTTTGCCTTTTCTAATTATTTGCTTGTTCATTTCATGCTTATATGTCATTGCATTTTTTTTAAATCTTATTTTATGTGAACTACTCTAATACATTTTTCTTTGAAGGTTCTTCCAAAGATCTTGACGAGGCACTCTTCCAGTCTTTCTTAGTAATTTTTTCTTTGCAGTTATTAGTCATTGTCTTCTAAAAATATTTTTTAACTTTATTCCCCCACCCCTTCCTTCCTGACCCCCGACCCACCCCACCCACCTCACCCAGTTAAATAAAATTTATTGCTAAGTTATTTTCTTTAGTTGTACATTTTATGTCTGGTATATTTTATTTTGAATGCTATGAAAGCTGGTATGAAATGTGGGAAGCTCAGTGTATCAGTTTATGATGTCTAATTTGAATTTGTTTCATTTTTAATTGGCCTCTGTTAATATGAACATTAGCTTATTTTATCCATTTAATACTATTATCATTCACAGTTCTGCATGCTAAAATGTTTGAACCAGAGTGCCTTTGTTTTTGTTTTAAGACTTTTGCCTGCATTTCATAACCAGCCATGCTTATGCAGTTAAAGTTCAAAGTTAAAAATTCCTATGCATGCTTTCCTTCCCTATGTTGAGATGAAATGCTGTAATTTACTCTTTGATATAGATGTACTTTACCCATATTTGTCTTGGATGACTACATTTTACTCAGTTTTTCTTGTACAGTACATAAACCAACCATTTTCTGACCAAATTCCTGCATTTCCTATGTACTGACCTATATTTTATTTTGTTTTTGTTCCCCAATTCCTTATTTTTTTCTTCTGCATTGCTGTTTCCCTTCCCCATTTCATCCTTTTCCCTGTGTGTTCACCTTCCCTTTCCTTGTCTTTTCCCAAATGCCCATTCCCTTCCCTGTCTTATCCTTTATTTTCCTTGTCCTTGTCTTCATTCCCTGTCTCCATTCCCTATGTTCATGCTTCTGTGCTTGAACAAATGTTCCTCGGACCAACTTGCCCCAATTAACCGCCTTGAACCATGATCCATGACCACCTCACCATTCTGCGGGAACCACCCTTCGTTATGGATGATCTGTTCATCTCCGCTCTTCCTCGACTCTTCTCTCTTCTTGTCTTACGCTGCTTGCTCTTCTCTCCTTCTAAAGATGGTTACGCCCCAAAGTCTGTTTACCCTCTTCGGTATGTTATTGTTAGCACTATACTTTTATTATTGATTTGATTTTTGTTTCACCTTAATTCTTATTTGTAGCTAGCACTTTGGCTTAAAGTTGAATAGTAAATCTTTTGCTATTTTTCTTTGCTATTTAAAACTCTCCATAGACACAAAATTTGTTTTAATGCATGCTAATTTATTTTGCATGGTCTTTAATTTAATATCATTCACATAGCTTTGAGGGTTTATCAAAAATTATTCTTTTCAAAATTCACTGTTCAAAATCTTGATCTTCTTTATTCATTTGTGAGAATGATGAGATTGAATGAGTGATCATGTTGATGTCTGAATGTTTCATTGATATGTCAGAAAGATAATCTTTAGGTGACTTTCACATAAAATTAATTCCATTTTTGGATTACCTCTCTGTGGCTCCAAAAAAGGTGTTTATGGAGATGTGCAGCGTGTGAAGATTTTGTACAATAAGAAAGACAGCGCTCTAATACAGATGGCTGATGGAAACCAGTCACAACTTGGTAAGATTAAACTATGTTTCATCTGTACGTCTTCACTTCTGCTTTCAAATGCATAATGTGAATCTGTGAATAAAAATAAACTCCTTTACATCAGTAAGAAATTATTTATTTTAATGGCCAGGGCTCAAAATGTCATTTTAATGTGAATAGTTGTATGTGGTGAACATATTTGTATTTTTCAGCTATCCTCCTACTGTTTTTCAAATGCACTCATAATAGGAAAAGATTTTAGCTTCAAAATTGTAATAATAGTTTCACATGAGAATTATTTATTTTGAAGATTCATAGTGATTTTTTTTCTAGCTACTCCTTGTTAATAGAAGCTAACTGTTCATATACCCATAGAATCCTTCTTAATGCCGTGTTATTTTAATTCTTGTAAAGTCTTGCGATACCAGGTTTACAAAATGAAAAGCTTGTGCTAAAAACACTGTTGTTAATCACTTTGGGAATCTTAAAAGGTAGTTTAGTCAAGTTACACTTTATATCATTACTTAAATAAGTAATTGATTATTTTAATTAAACTTATGTCATTTGACTTCATACATAGTCGAATACATAAATCTAGAACACACCTGCACATTCACACCAGTGATTGACTGTAAATGCCAGGATGTTCTTACAGCTCTGTTCGTTGAGATTCAGGGATAATGGTGCCTCAGACTGATTGTATTCACATTGTTAATTTGTAAATTTGCCATTTTTGATGTTAGGACGAGTGTATTTTTGCTTTTATATCCCTGTGAGACTCAGATGAACAACTTGTTACGCTAGACCAATTTTGGCCTTTGGCATCACGTAGAAAATTTTGAATTTCAAACACATAATAGGTTTGAATTTTAGTGTTTCTTGGCAATACTCTTAGCAACTCAGATGAGGTATAAAACTATCCATCTGGCTCTCCATTTTTAAAATGGTGGTATGTGTCTTACAGAGGTATGAAAGTGCTGATTACGTCATGATCCTTAGTATATATTTTCCTCTGTGTGCACTTCTGTACTCTGGTTGGAATAGTAATTGCTGTTGCTTTCATACATGTTGTAAGTAGCACTTGGCAGTACTTCATAATCAGAGTGTTCTCAAATATGTCATTTTTTTCCCCTAATTGTTTGAGGTATGGGTGGCATTATGTGTCATTTAAATAAAGGATGCAGAGTCTTTATGGTTGATAATTACCTGTGGTAGAGTTACCTCAGATCGTCTAGATAGTTTTTGTTTTATGTAAAGACTGTTCTAAGTAATACTTTAATTTTTTGCCATACTTGTAGTCTGCTTGGGCTGCCATAACCAAAATACCACGGACTGAGTAGATGAAACAACGAAAATTTATTTCCTCAAAGTTTTCAGAAATAAAACTTTGGGGTCTAGAAGTCCCAGATGAAACTGCTAGCAGATTGTTTCTGGTGAAGTCTCTCTTGACTTGCAGCCAACCATCTTCCCCATGTGTCCTCATGTGGCCTTTCCACTGTGCAGGCGCGTTAAGAGTCTCTTCCCCTTATAAGGATACTAGTCCTGTTGAATCAGGGCTCTACTCTTAATGACCACATTTACCTGAATTACTTCCTTAAAGGCCCTGTTTTTAAGTACAGTTACATTGGGGGTTAGGACTTCAACATACAAATTTTGGGAGGACACAGTTGAGTTAATAGTACTTAAATTTGTAAATCATTTATTGTCATTAAAGTTTTGACTTGCTAGGAAGGCTTATAATTTTTGGACTGTATGTAGTGGTAAATAATTCATTTCTCATTGCTGCTAGGTAGATTTTTGCTTTCGTGAACTATGTGACCATAAAAATACGTACTGACACCATCACTTCCTTTAAAACACACCCACACACACACACCCCCACACCCACACAAAACTCTGTGGTGTACTATTGAGAACAAATCAATGAGGCCAAAACATTTTTTTGTTTCTGAACTCTATTCTTATTCTTTTTGGTTTTCAAGGGAACTCTATTTGTGAGTATTCATTGCTTTGTATTATAGGCAGATGTCTTTATGCTTAAGAGGTAACATGGGAAAAATAAGTGGCAAGGAAAATTAAGAGAGATGCTCAGAAATGTTTAAATGTGAATGGAACTGTAAATCTTACAGGCCATGTTAAATTGTTTCAGACCAGAGTTCTAAAATTTGTAAACATTAAGGTGTTTTCAAATATTAATACTCTTAGAATTTTTCTTAGAGTATTATTGGGTAATATTTCTTAGAGTATTACTGTATAATTTGTAAATTCTCATCTTTAAAAGTAGTATATTGATCTCCAAGATTAAAATAAATTCTAACAAAATGCCAACTAGTAGTTTATTCATAGTAAAATAATTTAGTTTCTCTAGTTCATGTTTTCAAGAACTATTTTTTTAAATGCCTGCTTTTAATATATAGCTACCATCTCAAAAGTAAACTTAGTTCTTATTTATAATAAGCCTTTACTTTACAAAATTATATCAAAATGTTCTATAAAGTGAGTGGAAATCATTCTGCTGTTATGATATTTGAACAGTTGTTGTGTGTATTGGTTTTCACTTCCACTGTTATGAGTAATGAGTAATTGCCACACTTTGGGGGCATTGCTGTTTTCATAAAAGAGAGATCTTACCCTCCAAAACAAAACAAGGGAAGGAGAGGGAGACAGCAAATTTATATGGAGAAAAATAGGGAAAAATTAAAAATTATGGTAGAATCAAATTCTGATGCATCAGTAATAGTGAAAAATGTAAAGGAATAAATTTGTCAACTAAAAAGATTGTCAAACTTAGTATTTAAAAAGCTACCTGTATACTTTTTACAAGAGACATGTAAAGCAGAAGGATGGAAAGATTGAAAGGAAAAGGATGTGAAGAGATACTAATATACTGGGCAGATAGTAAGCAAAACAAAACTTAAATACCTTTATTAACTTAAGACCGAGAATTGATAAAGGATTTAGTTCACTGGGAAGATAAAACAGTTTGTGTATATGTGTGCCTAGTGAAATAGCTTCAAAATACATAGTAAGTGGATAGAACTACAAGTCGACTTGAGCAAATCTATTATAGTGGTGGATTTCAGTTCACCTTTCTGAATTACATGTCAGACTGACCCAAAAAAGACAAAATCAACAAAGATACAAATGATACAATTACCTTAACAGAATTATGTGTCTAAAAGTTACACATCCAGTACAGTTTTTAAATACATATGGAACATTTTTGAAAAATCAGCCACATATTAAACCATAAAGCAAGCTTCATCTAATTTCAAAGAGTATCATACAGACCTCATTCTCTGACTATTGCACAATTAAGTTAGAATTAATAACAAAAAAATGCATTTAAAATCTGTGTCCAGAGATGTAAAAATAAGTCTCAGTATTGCATGAGTCAAAAGTTTGTTTTTTTGTTTTGTATTGTTTTGTTTTTTGAGACAGGTCTTGCTCTGTCCCCCAGGCTGGAGTGCAGTGGTATTGTGGCTCACTGCAGCCTCGACCTCCCAGGCTCAAGCAATCCTTGCACTTAAGCCTCCCAAGTAGCTAGGACTACAAGCATGCATCACTTGCCCGGCTAATTTTTTATTATTATTATTTTTTGTAGAGATGAATTCTCACTATGTTGCCCAGACGGAAGTTATTTTAATGGGAATATAAAAATACTTAAAATTAAGCGATAAAGTACTATATACATATAAATTAGATATATGCGGTACAGTGAAAGAGATGTCTTGACGGGAAGTTTTAACTTTAAGAATAACAGTGTTACCCCCAGGAAAGGAGATATTAAAGATAAGACTAGAAATCAGTGGTATAAAAGACAGTTGAGAGAAAAAAACATGCCACAAGTTGGGTTCTTTGAAAAGACTAAAGAAATGGACAAACATCTAAAGATTGATTAAAACATGAGAGTGGTAACACAAAAAAAATATTTTTTTAATTATAAAGGGGAGAACCATTGAAAAAGCTCCAGTTTCCACATCATATAAATGCCACCTATATCTGTAAATTTCTTGAGGTCTTTTAAATTTTTTATTATTCATTAATATCTTCTTCATAGATGGATTAAGGGAAAGGTAAAAAAATTACATTCAACCAAAAATGCCATTTCAATTGTGAAACACTGACTTTTTCCTCCTTTATTATTGCCTTGTCCATTTATGCCGTATTTCTTGGAATAGGAGACTTCAAAGTGTAAGATTTACATTGTTTAAAATTTTATTTATTTAAAATTAGTAATTCAGATAGTTTCCTTCTGCTCTGTTTACTCATTGTGTACTTTCAGTTTTTGACAAAGCTTTTGTTTTCTTTTTTACTTAAAAACTTTGGTACTCTAATTATCCTCCCCCTTCCCCTTTAGATCACTTCAGATTCTATTGTCAGCAATCAGCTGGCTAGAACTCTCATTACCTGGCTACCTTCTGAGGTAGCTGTTTGGTTATTTTGCTTTATTCTAATCCCATTCCTCTATCACTCATCTGTTCTGTATAGAGTTACTATGCCTGGGACTTTTTATTTTCTTATTCCGTCCCTCCATTATCTCAAAGCTCAGCTGTTTGTGCTGTCTTTTTATTTAGACAGCTTTTTTTCTGACAACCTTAAGTCTACTTATTTATATCACTTTATTTCTCAAACCCATACTTAATAACACATTTTGTCTGAGGTAGTAGCACTTTATCTAAACAAAAGTCTATTCACTTAAAACAGTTACAGAACTTTAAAATTTTATAATTCAGTGGGTTTTATTGTAAAAGGATTTTATGTACTGTCACTGTAGATAATTGGTTTTACAGGTATAAGTGTAAATTTGCAAGTATATGAAATTAAGTATGTGAAATGCAGTGCGAGAAACAAGTGAGAACATTCAGGCTTGTGAGAAGATTGTTTTGTTTTGTTTTTTTCTGTTAGCCTTGGCGGAAAATCTGAGAAAACTTAAAATATATAACACTGGAGTGACAATCAGGAAGAGTGGGCCCCCCCCCTTTTTTTTTAAACAAATTAGAGAAGTTCAGTGGCTGGTGGTTATCACAATAAGAAAAATTTAAGCAAGTTATAGGTAAAATAATTTACTTTTCTGAATGGTACCTCATATTTTGACAGCATTATCCTTTTCAGGTCTGTTTTATGTTTAATTGGTTTATTTATACATGTGAGTATGATGAGATTCGTGGATTTAACCAGTTCTTTGTATCTTCTGTGTCAAAATGTATACTGTAGTATACTGTTTATATTAGAAACTCTTTGAAAGTGGATGTTCTCAGTTTCCTGATCTTCCACATTGTCTTTATCTCTCTGCTTTTTTATTTGTTTTTGTTTTGAGACGGAGTCTTGCTCTGTCACCCAGGCTGGAGTGCAGTGGCACCATCTCAGCTCACTGTAACCTCCACCTCCTGAATTCAAGTGATTCTTCTGCCTTAGCCTCCTGAGTAGCTGGGACTACAGGCACGAGCCACCATGCCTGGCTAATTTTTGTATTTTTAGTAGAGACGGGGTGTCACCATATTGGCCAGGCTGGTCTTGAGCTCCTAGACCTTGTGATCCGCCCACCTGGGCCTCCCAAAGTGCTGGGATTACAGGCGTGAGCCAACACGCCTGGCATCTACTGTTATACTTTAATGTTTTCATCTAGTTGATTATAGTCATTTAGACCTTCAGTTTAACCAAAGGGCATGACGTACTAGAAATGGTCTTTTTTAGTTATTTTGACTGGTGAATAAAACATGTAACTGTTTCTAGCATCAGACCAGTTCATTTAGTTTAAAAATGATCCAGCAGCTATGTCAAGAAATAGTCATGTAATGTTCTTTGTTCACACACTGCACTATGTTCTGGGGTAGAGGCAAAGGTTTGAATTTTGGAATATTTGCATTATACCAATTGGGCTTCCCAAATCTGAAATGCTCCAGTGATCATTTCCCTTGAGCAACTTGTTGGCATTCAGTTTTGGATTTTGGAACATTTCAGATTTCAGATTTCTGCATTAAGGATACTCAACCTGTACAGACTGGGAAAGGTATAAGCCATATTAAAGAAGGAGTTTCAACTTTGTCCTTAAGAGTTTTAAGCATGTGTTGACATGATCAGATTTGTAATTTACGAAGGTCATCAAGCTGCTGTATAGAAAATGGATTGGAAAAAAAAAAAAATCCAACAGGAAGACAAACGATGAGACTGAGGTATCCAGATAAAAAATAATGGCAGTGAAAAGTAGAGAAATAGAACATGAATTTGAGAGATAATTAGGAGGAAGGCTATCACAGTATTTAGCAATTAGGATGTGTAACAGAAGGGAGAAAAAGAGCTAGGGATGATTATTAAGTTTCTTGTGTAGCTCACTATATGATTTGTCAGCAGGATTGTTGAGGAAGATAGATATTCATAATCTGGATTTTCATTCTATGAAAGTAGCTGGCTTTTTTGCCAGAATGCCATGTCTAGTACAAATGAAAATGTACTTAAGTCTTGTCACCAATGGCTATGGTAAATTGGTGATTTATTTTAAAATCATAAAAAAATTCAAATTTTTAAGCTGTTACTTTAAAAGGATTATTTTTGTTTTGAGCTTTGATATTGTTTGTTAATAGACATGCTTTCTTTTTATAGCCATGAATCATCTTAATGGACAGAAAATGTATGGAAAAATTATTCGTGTTACTCTGTCGAAACATCAGACTGTACAACTACCTCGAGAGGGACTTGATGATCAAGGGCTAACAAAAGATTTTGGGAATTCCCCATTGCATCGTTTTAAGAAACCTGGATCCAAAAATTTTCAAAACATTTTTCCTCCTTCTGCCACTCTCCACCTATCTAATATCCCGTAAGTATATAAGCTAGAGTGTATTAAGGAGATACATTCTATTTTGATAAAATGTGAAATTTATTATTAATCTTCACTTTTTCTTCCCATTCAATTTTCCTAGTCCATCAGTAGCAGAAGAGGATCTACGAACACTGTTCGCTAACACTGGGGGCACTGTGAAAGCATTTAAGTTTTTTCAGTAAGCAAGCTTCCTTATCTTTAAATTAGTGACCTGATAAAAGTTTTCTTTAAGTAGTTTTTATTCTTGTTGTTTATAGAAATTTTTGATTCTGGAATGGCCAAAATTCAAGTATTTAATAAGCCATTTCTTATTTGTATGAAGTATCTGATTTTATAATTTTGTTTCAGAAGAGATCACAAAATGGCTCTTCTTCAGATGGCAACAGTGGAAGAAGCTATTCAGGCCTTGATTGATCTTCATAATTATAACCTTGGAGAAAATCATCATCTGAGAGTGTCTTTTTCCAAGTCAACAATTTAAAAAGGGGAAGATGAAGATTGGGGGTGAATCACATTGTTCAGTGTCATCACCTATTGACTGTTCAGAAAAGTGGGGACCAGAGTTTGATTTTTTTTGCTTTTGTTTTTTTGGGGTTTTTTTTTTTTTTCCATGCTGTTATCATTCCTTGGTTATAAAATGAAATGGCATATGTAAAGGCAGAGTTGTTAACTGCTATATTTCATCTGTTCTATAGGGAAGCCATTTTTGTCTGTTTAAAATTTCAGTTTAATTTTGCTTTTTTTTCTTCCTTTCAACTTAGTTGACATACGTGCCTTAAAAAGGAAAACTAGTGTTGCTATTGTGCATTTACTAGAAAAAAGGAATTGGTTGTTTAGGGCACACTGTTATATGGGAATTAAAATATGTTTAGGCAGGGGTGTGTAAAAAGGTTAAGTTTTTGTTTCTCCTGCTTGGAACTTATTTTGAATTACTGGCTTTCACCTTTTTTTGTATTTAATCAAATAAGATACATGATATTGAAAGAATAAAGCAGCATTTTTAGTTTTTACTACCTTAGGCTTTATTGCTTTAAAAACAACATTGGCCTTTTGTATCTTACAATTCTGGTCTAGATTCAGTTATGAATGTAGGCATTAGTTAAAATTAACAAGATGCAGAGTATTAATTTCTTAAGACAACAAAGTGATTTCTGTAAGTTTGAGCCCTATGTGGAAAGCATTGTGGAATCTTAACCTTTTTGTACACACTCTTGTGGGACGTATCATATAAATGTCAGCACTAAGTAATGTCTTGTTTGTGGCTGAATATTTTTCGTAGATGTTTTTGAAGTTGACATGACTTACGTGCATTTAAATATATATTGCCATCCTTAGTTTGTAATTAAGATTTGGAATATGGTTGTGGATTTCTGAGCATGTGCAGACTGGTCTAGCTAGTTCAGGAACTGGTGCATGTATTTTTCAAAGATAAAGAAAGTGTACTGCGAAAATATGCAGGAAGATTAATTTTGTGGCAGTTTTCTAAAACTGACAACCAGGTGGGACCAAAGTTTATGTGCCTTTAGTCTTAATTTACCTTGCATTGTAATATTCAGTTTTAATAAATCTTCAAAATATTTTGTATTTAGGAATAGATCTGACTTTAATAAAAACATGGCTCAGAATCTACAGGTCAAATTAATTTGAACAGTTCTTGTCAATCTGAATTGTTGATTCTGTTTAAATGACCAATACTTTTTGAAATTGATGTACTTAGTTTCAAGATTCATAGATTCTGTTATCTATGTAGACAGAATGGTCATGTATATTTTCTATTAGTTGAGTTTTTACATCTTTAGAAATGTAAAATTCAGTATAGTTTGAAAGCGGCACAATTAAAAATTAATTTTCTAACAAAGTTGGGAGGTTTGATGGTGGTTTAATTTCATTTTGTGTGTACTCTGCTTACCTCTGTAGCATGCTCAATAAACACTTCTGTAGCTCTATATTCACCTTTTCTGTCTTTCTCTGCTGCCTTTTCTCTCTCCTCCTCTTTGTTTTCACTCCACTGTGCTTCTGAATTCATGTTTATTCTCTGCCAGGGTGGGAAAGGAGTAATAATATTACAATTCTATGGCTTTATACCATAAATAAATCTAGATGCTGTGAAAATATACCAGCTGTTTTTTTTTAATTTAAAAGATAGTAACTGCTTTTCAGGAGGACACATATTAAACATTTCCCACCCTGTTATAATCTACTGCTTTAAAGACATAACTTTTACTGTAGCTTGTTAATTCTATCTCTTTTGTTGTTGTTGTTGTTTTTTTTCCAGTAGATTTATGCACTAATAGATCTTTTGGATTTGCCATGCTCTCTTGCTGCAGTTTCATCTTTCATCTTTTGTGTCTGCTAAAGATTTCTTACTAATAATCTTAGACTATCTTGTGAGTTAACTAAAAGAACTTGATGTTACTGGGAAGAAAGAGCAGCATATCGCCTGCTTTTGCTGTGGGTGGGAAGGATGATATACATTCAAATATTTAAAAACTTAGAGTAATTTGCATTTAACAACTAAACATGTTACTACTTTAACTTTTTAAACAGTTACAATTAGGGTGCTATTTATATTCAAAATATTTCGGTCAGTTTTTCTAAACAGATATGTTGGTGTCAGATAACTTTGGAGTTATGCATGATGTTTCTTAGGTTTGCTCTGTTACAAAATATCCCACACTTATGCAAAACTTATACGTAGGATAATAAAAAGTAAATGAAGGAACATAAAATATGTTTTACTATACCTAATATAGTAATTCAGTTACCTCCAAGAAAGAAGAACATAGTAAGTAAAATAATTTTGTTTACACTAGTGTCACTGTTGTCATCTGAAGAACCACCATTAGAGTCAACAGTTTGGGATGATTTGGAAGCTAGGTGATACGTGTTTTTTTTTTTTTTTTTTTTTTTTTTTTTTTGTAGCCACAGAGGAACTCTAGCAACATCAGATATGTCTAAAGTCTAAGAAACCAATCCCAGGGTTAGTGAACAGTAATTGAACAAAGCTGCTCAAGGTGGCGTTTTTCTCAGTAATGAGTGGTGGTGATAATATTTGAAAGTAGCTTCTGCCACCTTTTCAGGTGCTCATTGTGGGTGGCATTGCCTTGGGAAGGAGAAACTTAAGTCCCGAGCTGTGTGTGGGAACTTAGTTTGCGCCATTTGCTAAGCTGGTGAGAGTTCCCAATCTCCCTAGTGGGAGGTAACCAGAAACCAGCTCTTCTTGCCTAAGGACTTACAGCAGATTCTATACTCTCTTAACACTATACCCCAATACAGCCTTCCTTCCAAAGCACCAAGTCAGTAAAGGGGGATTTTGACATTCTGGAATATTTTTAATTCAGTACATGAAATTAACCCAGACCTTGGCATATAGCGAATTACTTATTAAAAGTTAGGTAAAAATAATAACAGCTTTGTTGTATATTAGTACTCTATGCCTCTTAGAGTGAACTAGCTAACAATGAAGTATTCTTAGGACTCAGCTGCTTTGTTAATAGAGGTATTAACTTGAATATTTAAAAATAACTTTAATCAGAAAAATTATTTTTGACATTTAATAAGATGTATTTTGGATTTTTTTTTTTTTTTTTTTTTGACGGAGTCTCGCTCTGTCACCCAGGCTGGAGTGCAGTGGCCAGATCTCAGCTCACTGCAAGCTCCGCCTCCCAGGTTTACGCCATTCTCCTGCCTCAGCCTCCCGAGTAGCTGGGACTACAGGCGCCCACTACCTTGCCCGGCTAGTTTTTTGTATTTTTTAGTGGAGACGGGGTTTCACCGTATTAGCCAGGATGGTCTCAATCTCCTGACCTCATGATCCGCCCGTCTCGGCCTCCCAAAGTGCTGGGATTACAGGCTTGAGCCACCGCGCCCGGCCGGAAATGGGTTTTAAAGCACCTACTTAAGGATGAGATATCTACAGTTTAATGTTAGCATTTGAAAGCAACGAAGAAAATTTTTGCTTAACTAGGAAGTGTAATGAATCATTATATTAGAGATTAAATTAACACTTTGGAAGCATTTTAGCCCGTAGAGTTAAGGTTAGTATAGTGAAATTATGGTGATTAGCTTAATTCATTCATGTACATCTATTTGTATCACCAGATAATTACTAGGTAAAGGACAAATCACTTCAAAGCCTCAGTATTATTTGTAAAATGGAGGCAATAAGTTCTGCTCTGCTCATCTCACAGGATTATTATAGAGGCTCAAATAGGATAAGTGAAGAAATGCTATGCAATTAGTAAACTGTTAGGCCAGAGAGTTCCCAGACTGCCAGATTTGCCCACAGTAAACTTCATTATCCGCAATACATGTTATCCTAATATGTGTTTTTGCTACGAAGAAATACTAATGTTTTAAAATTATTTACTAGCTTCATAAAGTAGAAAGATGTAAAATGCAGTTATAGAGAGCATCCCAAGCCAAACGAAAAGAAACCATGGATTTAGTTTTGTATTTTGTTTGAACTTGATAGCCCAATCATAAAATGCACATATTTAATTATATTTAATTATAGACTGCACTTAAGATTTCATATGTATAAAAAAGTTGCTGTGAAACTTAAAGGTAATTCTAACACTCAGGAATTTCAAGGCTAAGGAAGAAAGACATATTCTCACGAGCAGCTCTGAACTTCAAACAGGATTTTCTGGCTGCCTTAATATATTAAAATGGAGCCTAAATCCAAAAACGTTTTTTTCATCCAGAAGAAAGTACAGAATGCAGTGAAATTGAGTACACTAGAAATTCTGATGGCAAGAATTGAGCAGAAAGTCTTAAATTTAAACCATAATATTCATTGGTTATCTAAAACCTTCGTTTTATTCTTTGTTATTTTGAATAGTTTCCCTTTAAATTTTTTAGTTTCGAATTTTGCAAATAAAAGTGTACATGTTAAAGTTACAGAGTATTAGATTATTCACATTAAGAACTGTTCAAATACGCGGAAAAATAAAACCATAATGAACACCTGTGCACTTCACTCAACTATATCACTACCTTTTTCCATATTTTAAATGTAATTATATATTAGTTGAAAGGAAATGTTACAGAATGAACTGAAATCCCATATAAACCTCTTTCTGATCTTAGTTCAAACCTTGTTCTTTCCCAAGAGGTAATTGTTCCCTTCAATTTAGTATTTTATTATTCAGTGGTTGCTTTTCAAGAGGAATTTGTCCTAAATTTCTTGTTCTGCCTAGTTATAAAAATGGCAAATAATATAATACTGGGTGTTTAAATAGTACAATATTTTATTGTTCAAAACACATTTTATAATTTTTAACAGATTGGTCATTGATAATCCCCTTATCAAATCTCATGACATGTAACCAATTTTTAATAAGGATTTTAAATCGTGTTTAAGAAATAAGTCATTTGGGCCCCAGGTTTCTCTTAAATATATAAACAAGGAGCTATATCGTTGGCATTTTAGAAGCTGAATTATGTGTAAGATCCTTAAATACAAACATACTCTTTGTAGCTTCACAGAGCCACCCTTTTTGCACTTCTCCCTCTTTTCTTCCTCCCTCCTTTGCTCCCATTTCAATGGACAGAAAGACTATGCGGCATCTCTATTTTCATTCACTTGGTTTATTGTCTTGGTATGTTGTATAGGTTTTTGAATCAAAGGAATTTTTAACATTTTAGATATTTCAAACATAGAAAAACTAGAAGAATGTAACAAACCCTTGTCAGCTTCAGTTAGCAACTTACATCTTCCTCGTTTCCTCCACCCAGTTCTCCTTTATTAATGTAAATCTTAGACATATTTTATCATGAAATTTTGTGGCATATATTTGTGGTGTTTTATTCCTGGTCATAGTTGCTTTCTCTAATACCTGGATTAGCCTAGCTTGTCAATACTACTTCAAATCCTAGAACCTCGCTATTAAAAATGCAGTCACCAAACCAGTGGCAAATTAATATCACCTAGGAGTTTATTAGAAGCTCAATCTATGATCCTACTGAATCTACACTTTGGCAAGATTTGGCAGGTGATGCATTTGGACATAAGTTGAAGAAGCACTCTTAATAGAATGCGTTTTTTTCAGTTCTGTAAAAATCAGCTTCCAAGTTTTTTCCTGAGTGTGGAAATTATTTCTTAGTAATTTTAAGTTTTGCAGATATGTAGTTAATAATACCAAGAAATAATTGAAAAGGAACCCGGATATCCAGTTTTAACCTCCTGTTTTAAAGATAAACAGTTCTAGAGCTCAAATAAATAGTTTAGCAACATTTATTGTGACATACCTGTAGTTAGAATCCAAGTCCCTGGCTTTCCAATCCAGTCTTCAGTGTATTACACTGATCAAAAGAAATACAGGCCTGCTATTATTCATAAATTTAAACTATTACGTACAAGTTGATAGCTTATCATAGAAATCAGTATGATCCGTATTAAAAGTCAAATTTAACAGGGAAGGAATGTCCATGTGAATTGATTTTTTAAAATAGACTGCAAATTAGTACTCTTAATTCCTGATTTGTTTATTACATTTTGTGGTTTTATAAAATGATAACTCGGGTCATTTTCGTAAATAGCTTTTCTACTCATTTAATGCTTCCTCAGTCACTTTTTCTACTATTGCATAGCGCAGTCTAACAGTTGAAATGCCTAAGCCTTACTGAATAATGACTCTGATATTCTCTCTGAGAGTTAAAGCTGTGCTATAAATATACATTTACCTGTGCGAAGTATGCCTTCAGGGGCTATGCCCCATAACCTTAGCAAAATTTTAAAATATTCTTATGGCTAGCAATTTTATCTATTGTCATGTCTTACAATTTCCTGCTTACCACCCCCATTTGTCTCTCAACCTTGTTGCTGCATTAGCTGTCCATCACTTAAAACTGTTTATTTCTGTTTTTCTTCCATCATTCTCTTTGCAACTCCATGTCTTAGACTTTTTATAATCATAATCAACCATAACCAGATTCTTTTTATTTGTGGTTAATGAGTTGACAAACAATAGTGCATTTTATGTAATAATCAGGTGTTTTGCTATTTTTGTCTGGTTCAGCTTAAAATCTCCCTGCCCCCCACTCCCTTTTTTTGTGGGTTTTTAAAATATTATTACTATTTTTTTCCGGTTTTGTTTTGCTTTTTAACTTC